ATTACCCCAGTCACTGAATCAATCCACCTCATAGAGGGCCTTCCCCTCCTGCACTGTCCCTCCACCCTCCCTAGCATGATGTCCCTCTCCAAGGACCAGTGTCTTCTCACAACATGTCTAAAGTATGTTAGATGGAGCCTCAGAATCCTTGCCTCCAAGGAGCCACCCGATTTAACCTTTTCCAGGATGAATCTGCTTGTTTTCCTAGCAATCCATGGTACTCTCAATACTCTTCTCCAGCACCACAGCTCAAAGGCATCAATTCTCCTTCTGTCCTCCCTGGTCATTGTCCAACTCTCTGATGCATAATAAGTGATTTCAAAGACCATGGCCTGTATCAGATACACCTTAGTCTCCAGAGACACACCATTGTTCTTCAGTACTTTGGAGAGGTCCCTAACAGCAGACTTTCCCATGGCAATACGCCTTTTAATTTCCTGGCTACTGCTACCAAGGCGAAGAGGTAACTCGTGTTTGCTGTGATGCTGAAGACTGTGACAGTGATGTGCCAATTGTGGTAATGGGCATCCATGGTGGACAGTGTTGGCTGGAGCTTCCTGAAAGCCTGGAAGCAGGAGCAGCATCCACTTCCGAAATGGCTTGCCTCCGGAAACTCTATGTACAAACAGTGCTCAGGCTGTTCGTTCATAGGGTTGCTATGAGTCGTCTACGACTCAAGGGCATTAAACAACAACAACAAACAACAACTGGTGCCAAGAGTGTTGACTGTGGACCCAAGCAAACTAGAGCTTTGAACAATCTCAATCTCTTTACCACCCATCCTGATGCTGCCAGTTGGCCCAGTGGTGAGAATCTTTGTCTTCTTGAAATTGAGCCTCAATGCATATTGGAGGCTGCAGTCCTTGACCCTCTGCAGCATACGCTTCAGGTCCTCCTCTGTTTCAGCAAGCAGGGTTGTGTCATTTGCATAGCACAGATTTTTGATAGATCGTCCACCAATCTTGACCCCACATTTCTCCTCACAGATCCAGCCTCCCAGATAATCTGTTCTGCATACAGGTTGAAAAGGTGTGGAGATAGGATGCATCCCTGGTATACACCCTTCCCAATTTTGAACCATGCAGAGGATAGTTAAGTTTTTTCCCATAAAGAATTGCAGCTGGGGAAACCTGATTGAGGATGACTATTGACTGAAAGGTGGTGGGTTTGGAACATCCAGTGCTAAATCCAGAAAATAATTCCACCACTCAATGCAGCAGATTTTGCCTCCATCTCTCCAGAGTGTCAGCGAGGTCAGGCTTGACTGTCTCTGACAAAGGATTAATGATTTCTTCTCATCTTGAGATAATTTACTAGAAAGTTCTCCCCTACGTTACAGTGAAACTGTCTGGGTTCTCTCCATCCCCTCAGGACCTCTTGCAAGTCTAATCTTTTCCGAAGGAAAGCTATTTCCATATTTGTAGAATTACCATCCATCATCCTTTACTCAGCTACTGGCATCATCATATGTTTATCCCAGGGGAATTTAGTGGCTAAAAGCCACATAACCAAGTTTATCACAATTCTTTGGTAGTCCACCCACACTATCAAAAGAGGAAACTGATGCAAGTTGTTTCCCAGGCTCTGTGCTTACTGAGAAAGCCCATGCCTTGTAGCTAAATTGACTGACATAACTACCCAGGGTGACCTAATCAGGTCTGAAGACGCCAATCAATGGGAGGAGTGGGGCTTGTCCCCGGGTGGGCGGGGCTAGCGCTGATAGGCGGGGCTAACAGGGGTGGGGCGGGGCTTACCTGCGTTGGGGCAGAAGGCTGTGCTCCGGTGGGCACTGCAGGGTCCTGAGCGGGGCCTAAGGAGAAGGATGAGGGCAGAGATGGGGCCGTGACCCAAGAACTCCAGGCCTGGTCCCACGGGAAACTCTGGGGAGGACGCGGGGGCCTGGCAGCGCCTGCCTTTTACCGGAGCTGCATCACCGAGCCAGGGCGCAGTTTCCCTCCCCCGCGGGCCGTTTCGGTCCCCCAAACCCTCATCAGTCCGCACCCCGGCTCGCTCGCCAGCTCACCTGGCGCCTCCGCTCCCCGAGCTCGGTGCGGACAGGCGCTGTAGATGTTCTGCGAGCGCTGCTGCCGTGACACCCGGGGTCTCTGCAGAGACCTGGGCCGCTGGGAGGCCTCCGAGGCGCGCATCCTCATGGCGAGGCGGCGGACCTTCCTGGAGAGGACTTCTCGCACCACCACAGGGAGGGCAGGAGGAAGAGGGCAGGTGTCAGAGCGCGGTGGCTACCCTTTCCCAACACCCCTGCTTTAAATCTGAAAGCAGACCCCTTCCCCAAGACGTATGTGCCACGTTTATTAGATGTGTGCGCTATGAGTGAGACGGAAAGGTTCAGGCCACTCTTGTCCATTTTCTAGCGTTTGTACCACTCGCCACACCAGGTGATCTTCCTTAAGCCCCACGTTGCCCCTGGAGTGCTGGCTGGGAAAGTGGGAGTCTGAATGTCCCCAGTCTGATGTGGACAGCTCGGCTCTCCCCACAGAGCCCTGCGTCCTGGTGCTCACCTTTCCTCCTTTGAATGGCCCTTTTCACCACCAAGCCTAGAAGTGCCAGCAGCATAAGGCCCAGGAAGGTGGGAATCAGGATGTGGAATCCGTGATCTTCATAAACAGAAGACCCATAGTTGAAATCTCTGAGGAGAGAAGCGAAAGAGGCAATAGTCTCAAATGGATGACTTTCCTTCCCCCTTTTTTTAAAAAAATTATTTTTTCATACTAGTTTATTTACAAAATTCGAATACAAATTCGAACAAATTCTTTCCATTTCCCTCACTCCCCCATCAAATTGTACAACCCAATGATTAATCCCTTCTTCCCCCTGTACATCCACATCCGTCTGCTTCCAGCCTCTCCCATCCCTCCTGGCTCCTTATACTCATTCTAAAATAACAGTTTTATACAATATTTATCCTTGTGAGACTGAGTTCGTTCACTCAGCATAATGCACTCCAGTTCCTCCTAAGTTAGGTAATAATTTATAAAGTCATTGCTTCTGCATGTTGCATAGGATTCCACTGTGTGAATGTACCATAATTTCTCAATTCATTCGTTTGTGGTTGGACATTTGGGCTGACTTTTTTGAAAAGCATGTCGTGAGTTTTTCCTTTATCTGCTCTCACTACTTCCCCCTCAAAACAACCTTATTTAAGGAGTCAAGGAAATCTAGGTTCAAATTCATTTTCTACTTTTTTCTGTGTGATCTTGAAAACACTGACTTCTCTGAGCCTTGTACAATCACAAATGGAAATGGGTAAAACCAGTCTGAGAACTTCTGTGAGGAAGAAGTTAAATGATGAAAGCCTGTACCAGTTGCTGCGTGTGTCATTGTAGAACTGTGCTCCATGTGGGACTTTGTGGCTGCTTTTAATGCAGCAGATCACCAGATTATTTCCCCAAGAGGCTCCTCTGGCTGTCCTCGAACCTTTAACCTCCTTCCTTTCATTTAGCATTGGAGCACAGCACACTAACTGTTCGCATCACACAGGGACATCTGATCACCCAGAACCTCATTGTCATCCAGCCAATCCCAACTCACAGTGAGCCACCATTGGGTTTCTGGGAGGAGACTGCCATTCGTTCTCCTTCAGAGCCACTGGTGGATTTGGACCACCAGAGATGCTTGTCCTTTTGGTTGGTCATGCAACACACTCCACCAGAGCAAGGCTATGTAAATGTCCGTTCTCTCTTCAGCTTTCTGTACCTCCATTTACTGACACAATGAATATGAGTGTTAAATGAGTTTGTAATATGTCTGAAGATGTTTTTCTTGTGCCATTCTCTCTGCTTGGAAGATCTACCCTCCATCTTCTCTGTATACGAAATTCTTGTATTACCTGAAGACTTCATGGAAAAAGTCCTCTTTTCTTTCCAATAATAGTCAAGATCCATTTTTTTTATTTTATTATTTTTTGTGTGAATGTACCGTCAAATCAGATCTGACTGGTACAGGAGGAGATTGTCCCTCATTCCCCGGCAGAGCATCTGGTGGATTCAAACCGTGTGCCTCTGGGATTGTAGTTGCAGCTCCTTGCCACTAGGCCACCAGAGCTCCCCCTAGATCCATTTTTTAATGTTCTATTTTCCCAATTCTGTGTTCCCAGCTCATCATAGTTCTTACCGCAGTGAGATCTGCACTTTTGTTATGTGCTGACGAGTTGATTCCAACTCATAGTGACCCTATGTACAACAGCGCCAAACTCTGCTGCTGCTGTTGTTGTTGTTGTTGTTGTTTTGTGCCATCGAGTCGCCTGTGACTCATAGCGACCCTATGTACAACAGCCCTAAACTCCGCTCTGTCCTGTGCCAATCGCACTGTCTCTGACACTCC